ATGAGATGAGCTGTGGATCATGTGGTCGCTTACTCGTGCAATTATGCGTGGGTTGAGTGAGCACAAGGTGTGTGCACTGCTGCAATTCTTGTTTTGTCCCTTTTTTTTTTTTATAATCAAATTCGCTGCAAAACTATTTGTGCCGTCCGTCACCGACTATTTCATCACAGCCTACTCTCTGTACGCCGGAGCCTCTTCTTCATTCAACCAAATTGTATTGTGAACTTGTATAGTTCACACTCTTGGCTCTACCCATGTAATAACTCTTTTCGCAATAAGAATGATCTATACAGTGATAACATTTAATTAGGAAAGTTGGCTAGGTAGCTGACCCTCTTACTTCACTTTTAACAATAGCAGCACAATCTTTTTGCTTCTTATAATACTATTTCCTCGGATAACTATTTGCTAGCAATGGGGAATTACTTTTCATCTGAAATCTAGGTGATTGGATGTGCACCAATGCAAACCATAAATTCCTTACACAATATAGGTATATGATAAATCTTTTTCATTTACCCTATTCGTTAGTACCGATCATTGACACCGAAAAAATTATCTAAGAGCTAAGGATATGATAAATCTTTTTCATTTACCCTATTCATTGGTAACAAGTCGCACAAACACCATGGTACATGTTCCTTGACGCTAAGGATATCCTCTAAGAGCGAAAGATTTCATAGCATTTCTTATTGGCTGTATTACATTTCTAATAAGTTATTTAATAGTTGGCATGTCGTTTCTAATTAGTATCGATATCCGGATTGTTATCGGTATATATCACCACCTATTTTGTTTTTCTTGAACTAATTTCATAATCTTTCTTATGTTCTCTATTTTCTTAATCCAGTCGTTCTAATTCATCGGTTAATTTGTATGACCATCAAGGAACGTTTTTACTGATTTCTTTTATTTCAATAGATTTTTTTTCAATTGTTGTTTGACCATTTGGATTGGTTGTAATTATGTCGAATACAAATCTCAAGGATTTTGCTTTAAATTCTTCCTTCTTCTTCCAATAAAAATAAAGAAGATTCACAGATTGACATTAAGAAATTAACAATATAATTAAATGATGATTTCTCATCAAGCGGATTCTTTTCATGTTCAAATTCTCGAGAATTTTTAGAAATAGGAAAGAGCCCATGAATCTTATTTATCCAAAACGTTTCTATGGAATCTACATCTTCTTCTTCTGTAGAAGTAATTAAATCATTCATGATTGTATGTGAATAGAATTTTTTTATTGTTCCAGAGTATGGTCCATTCAAAAAAGGATCATACGCTTTTGGCAAGTATTCTTGCTCATTCTCATCGTTGCATGGTCCTTTTTTCAAAAATATCTAGAGTAAGAGATATCTTCTTCTTCTTCTTCTTCTTCTTCTAGAGTTTTTATTCGACTTATCAATTCATTGCTCAAGTTGTATTTTTTTGCTTATTGGTATTTAATCATATAGGTCTTCATGGGAAAATTTTTCTATCATGTACAAAGGTATTTTGCGTTCTATCATTTTTGAAAAAATTGATAAACTAAGTGGATATGTAAAAGATATTATTTGTTTTCTAAACACAAAAAAAATATTGTGACATTTCATTTTGTACACTATTTTCAAATCGATTATTTTTTATATATCGTAATGGACCATTCCACCGCTTATAATTGAAAAGAAAAGTTACAATAGGTTTATCAAAGTCAAAGCGAAAAAAAATCTTTTCATTTTTCTCTTCTTTGTCTTCCCAATTCCCAATTATCTTGATAGGTATCAAGATAAGAATCTTCATAAACAATTATCTTCGTAAACAACTAACTTTATCGCATGTGTCTTTAAAGTGAAAGTGGAATTCATGCTTTGTTTTTTCCTTTCGATTCACTTGGATATCTTCCATTTCATCTATTTTGTTTGGATCCTCCTTTTCTTCCGAATAAAGGGAATTATAAGCCACGTTGTTCCTCCTAAAGTAACATAGAGCGAAATTGTATTCTTTTCAAGTCGTCATAACAGACCCGCCCTCTTCAAATCAGCCTTGTCCTCGAGGCTGACGATTCATGAATTTTGAGAATTTAATCTTCGAGTAGTCATAGTTCTCCCAAGTGGCATCTTTTGTTGGTAGGTTCATCCACTGTATTAGCACTTTAGTAGTGGGTCGTTATCGTCGAGTCACGATCCATCGATCAATAATGACACTGGCTGGGTCTGGAGTACTCCTTTTGAATTTAGTACCCTTATAGTATAATTCTTTTAAGTCCCAACTGTAATGGGCCACGGGGCTTGGTGCTTCCTCTAATTTTTTTATGATCTTACTGGTCTCTGAATCTTCCTGCCATTCTATCTTAATATCCTCAAGGAAATCGCTGGTCGGAAGTGAAATGGCCAAAACTTCAACTTACTCGGGTAGCTGCGAAAGCGCATTTGCAAAAATTTGTTAAGAGCGAAATTATATTCTTTTCAAATAAAACTTTTTATATTACACCTAACTTAGATTCCAAGTCTTAGATAGTTTTGATAATTTGTAGGAAGGTTCAGACTTATCTACTTAAAATCTCATACTTTTAACTATCTTGATAAGAAATTTTTTTTAAAATTATATTTGGTTTTCAAATTTTCATCTTATTGATCACCTTTCACAATCATGCACTCATCCATCATGAGAACAAAGGATCGATTATTCTACGAAAATCTCACCTCTACAATACCATTTTGTAGGATCATAACTTGGGATGCTGTTGCGACAATTCTTATTTTACCCTTTTTTTTCTCTTTTTTTTTATTTTTATTATTAAAATTTACTGCAAAATTATTTGTGTTGTCCATCACCGATTATTTTATCACATCCAATGAAAAGCCATGTCATTTCTTCTAAGAAAACAAAGAAAATGTCTTTTACTTACCTATTAAGAGGAAAAAACGTTTAATCATTCCAATTGTTACATATTTTGCTATAATTCTTTTACTGCAAAATTATTTGTGTTGTCCGTCACTGATTTTTCAATCTTCCCAAATGCTTGTATTTGGAAAAGACTACCCAAAGTTTTAATTGATAGCAAGTAGCTGCCGAACGTTTCAAGGATACTCATGATAGCAAGTAGTTTCCCAATTCCCATAAGTTGGTCACTTTCAAACAACTTTGAATCAATTAAAGACACCCCAAATGCTGTTATAGCTTAAGCCATTTGGTCATAGCCAAGTATCTAACATGCATCATTAAAAGTTAAAAAAAAAGAAAAAAGGCACCAAGAGTAAATGTGATAGGTACCTTGGCAAGCGATCAAACCTTTTTTAGCATAATTCTAAACATATGAGCTCCACATTCATTCACATGCTGCTCCCAATCCCTGTCATCCCCATCCACTACTAGTTTACCCTTTCCATAAGTAAT